ACCAACCACTTACCGACCACTTACCCACCACTCACCCACCACTCACCAACCACTTATCGAACCGTGTAGATTATATTTACAATAGCCAATAAGACTCACGATTTATTCATTCTTATGTATTTAGTAGAATCTCGGTTTTGATTTCACATTTCTGAACAAATGACGATTATTTTGTATTAAGTTTCAATTTAATGTACGTAGGATTCCTGGTAACAGCTGCTCTTACTAATCTTCTCTAAACCTCTTGCCTGTTACAATGATGATAAACCTTATAAACGAATAGGATAACTATTTAACTATATTTAATAAACAAGCATGGTATTTTTCTAATAATATCGTATAAAGATGCAGCATGTTGCATGGACGTCATGCTTCCGGATTTTACTTAGTAACACAAGCGTTTCAGTTTTAGTATTGATTATGCATGAATTAACTAGTTTAATGGTAAAAAAATGTCTAGATTTAAGTGAGGAATGTTATTAGAAATCAAGCAATCAATGTTGTACTAACAGAAATAACACCTGATCTCAAATGCTCCAGTTTCGAGTTATCTGTTGCTCAGGGTTAGCCTCGAATTTGTGTAGAATATTTCATGTGTTTCAGTGAAGGTCTGGAGTTTTAAAGTGTTGTATTATTGAMGTTGGGCATTATTTTATTTACCATTGGTATTTGTGAATATTTAGACACTAAATTGAGGCTAACCCTGAGTAAATGAGTCTGTAATCAAGGAACACAGCGGTAATTTGGAACTCGAAAAAAGTCTATTACATCTATACTGAAGAAATAGAAAACGTGCGCGTGGGGGCTGACAGAACATGAGAGAAGTGTTAGGAGAAGCACGACGCTTAGCGGAGTTCTTCTCAACACTTCTCGAATGTTCTGCCAATCCCCGAGCGCTTTATGACTCCACACAGCACAGCAAGCAAGTTTTTTATTTCTTTTATAAAATACAAATTACRAGAATGACGAAACTGAAAGTACGCGCTCTCAACCAATCAGAACGCGAGATTTGGGTCCGCTGTACGTGTTATATGTATTCTTCGTTTGCATGTAAGGTCGATATCACTTCCATGTATATTCCTCATTATTTAGCATCCCTTATTAATARACCTGTGTAAATCATGGGTCTGTGATTAAAGAAAACAGCAGTTACTTGAGTAATTTGAAAACGGTCATTTCATTAGAAAACTCTATACACTTGTCAGTAGATTAGGTCTGTTGTATAAGTGTTGTATTCTTCGTTTGCACGTTGGGAAATCACAGCCATGTTTGTGGTATTCAACAAAATATTCCTCATTATTAGCATCCTTTATTGGCGCTACCAACATGACTTGTTTTTTGTCATTTTACTTGGGCTCTACTAAAGAAATAGAAAACGCGCGCACGTGCTATGTGCAGTTTTATAGCACGCAGTTGGCAGAACACGAAAGAAGTGTTCACAGCACAGCAAGCAAGTTTTTTATTTCTTTTATAAAATACAAATTACATGAATGACGCAAGTGAAAGTGCGCGCGCGTGCTGTGTGCTCTCCCAACCAATCAGAACGCGAGATTTAGAACAGTTAATTTATAACGTGACATAGCATTCCAAACTTATATGTTTTATAGATGAACTTCTTGAAATTCCAAACCTTTTTTCCTTTTTTCCAATTTCAAGGCAAAGAAAGCTCAACCAAATCCAAAGAACAAGAAAAGGGTATCATGAAGAAGATTGAAGTCGAAGAAGAAAGAAACGAATTAGTAAGTACAAAACCACATATGGTATACGTTTTAGTCTCAAAAATTATCCYACATTGAAGAAAATGAATTGAAGCAAATAAAAGTGATAATACTTTATGATATCATGAGAAGAGAGTTTACTCCACCTCTCATGATGCTATCAATAGACCGTTTTCCCAAGGTTGCGTGCGCATCCAACTCGAATGGCCACAAAATAGCGCAGCGCACTGATTCTAAAAATAGCTTAAAGATTCGGACAAACATTGCATTCTGTTTAACCGCTACGAGGATTATACGAACCGATTTTATTATTTTTACTTAAAGTTACAATAATAACCCATGTAAACTAAGATCAACTGCGATCGGCTGTGAAAATTATCTGCTGAAAGTTAACTTGTAAGTTTGTTYGTCCGAATTTCGCCTTTGTCTTCGTTTTTATGACGTCACGGTTACACTGCGTTATTGTAAAACGCAAATTCAGTAAAATTAAGAAGCCAGTTTTATAATTAAAGAGGAGAATAATCAATTTTATGAATTCTTATCGAATATTTTTTTAAATAGCAATGCATGATTATACTCCTGTTCTGGTATCGTGTCCCGTCAAGTCCCTTAAATATAGATGCGCACGCAACCTTGAGAAAACGGTCTRTTGTTACTTAAAATATGCTTCTTTTGTTATAATTTAGATGTCAAAATTCACTTGAAACGAATGGATAAACTTATTCCTCACCTTACAGAAGCCTGAGAATTGTAAGGAAGAAGAAGGGAAACAGTTTTTTGTGCACTAAGGCATTATTTTGACTCGCAATAGTGAACCAACCACCGTTGCAGCAGTTTTCCCAATGGAATTCAAATATTCTCCCACAAACAACTACAGTGTCTGTTTTAAAGAGTACTTTAAAGATTGAGGCAATTTTTTCCACATATATTTTCCACAATAAGAGTGTGGCATTTTTTTTTTTTTTTTTTTTTTAACGTGACTTTAAGCGTTGATGAAAAGTAGGTCACTAGTATTTTTGCGGTTTTTTTTTATTTATTTATTTATTTAACGTGACATTGAGCTATTGAAACGAGTTTTGATATATTGAAGTTTTCAATTCTGAGACATCCCAGCTAATTTGTTTAGTTTTTTGAGACATGGAACGGTAACTTAGGGGAGTCGGAACCATGTATTCACAAAACTTTCAAACCAGCTCACATTTTATACTAACCTTGTGCTTTTTTTCTTTTGTGCTCAGCTATTGTTCAATATGGAAGGATTTGAAGTCAAGATGGAAGGAATGTTTGGTGGTCAACTAATACCCTTACTGTCAATGAATGGGCAGTTACAGGCAGAGGTCAAAGACTGGTCCACAAAGGTATATTTCTATTTCTATTTGGTTTGGCATACATCCGGATTTTTTTTTTCTTTTTTTTTTTTTTTTTTTTTTTTNTCTTCTTCTTCTTCTTCTTCTTCTTCTTCTTCTTCTTCTTCTTCTTCTTCTTCTTCTTCTTTTTCTATCTTTTTTTAAAATATGTTTCTGTTAAGGAATTCTGTTTCATTTATGTGCTTTCTCGTTGTTGAGAGTATTTCTCTATTCTTTTATATTTGTCATATGCGTTGCTTATTAATGATATCTTTTACGTATTAACATATCATTATATCATTATATATCTTTTTGTTATGTTTGTTTTTATTTCAAAGTTCTAGTAGTTTGAAATATTTCAAAGTCCGAGTAGTAGGACTTTGAAATATTTCAAAGTACTAGAACTTTGAAGTGCGTGCGGTCGTATTTGATGGGGTTTCAAACTACTGCACGTGGTACAAATAAGAAACCCTGGTTGTTCGATGAGCTCATGCATAATTAATGAGTATAAGATCTATATTTCGTTGTTTGTTTTCTTGCTAATCACAACAAGCGAATGGAATCAGGCCTTTTCTTTGTATGTTCTCCTGTGAATGATATGTTTTTTGTCTCTTTTCTGTCAGCTTGAAGTCACTGCAGGAGTTGGTCTCATTGCTAACTACTTCAACGAGCATGTTTCTGAGTGGGAACCCTTAATAGAACCAGTCGAAGAAGCTGATCACAAATACCGACCATGGGAAATCACACTAGAGGTAGGGATCATAAGTATCGATAATTAGTTAGTAGTATCCAGGTACAGATCTCTGTGTAGTCATGTAACACTTGCACGGCGAGAACTTAGTCGTAGAAGTGTGCGCATAGTCGAATAAAGCTCTTGGATAAATCCAAAATTTGCTCCAAACTGAGCATAGACGCCATCTTGGAAAAATTTCCCTTAAAACAGCCCCACAATGCCCTGCATTGCCAACTTAAAACAGTTTTTTCATCAACCTCAGAATGGCTAATAAAGAACTAAGGAATAACGTGAATCCTCTTTTCTCGCACTTCCTTTCAGATTTTCAAATATTATACAGATGCACTTTGTTTCATAATTATGTATCATCTTTTTCCACACAGCTTCAGATGGGTAGCGAAAATGGATCCGACTCAAATGGTGACGAAAACAACGGTGGAGGTCTTGACGTCAATGTTGAGCCGTCTATGTCTTTGTCAATCGAATCTAAAGATGACCTTCAGGTCACAGTCACTAAGACCGGGATAGACGTCTTCACTAAACTTGGAGCGGTAAGTAAAAATACTTGAATAGTCCCCTTCACATTTCCCTGCGCCATTTTGAAAGGTACCATTTTTTTACATCGTAGCGAGACGAACGGTGAGCTCGCAACAATAGAGACATACGAATAATTGTCCAATGTGTTAAAAAAGGAACTGTGAAGGGGACTTTTGCTGGGTTTCACTTGAAGTCACAGGCATCCATCTGTTGCGCACTTATGTGCACAACATGTCGTAAACTCTACTGTCTTTCTAAACCATGATATGTATCGTTGATGTGCTGTTTTTATCTTCAGGCGTTCGGTGAAGCCGTAGCTTTGCAGGGTGGTGCGAAAGTTGCCATGGAAGATTTGTCTCCTTATCTTCTCCAAAATGATGTAAGGAAGTTTTTCGTTTTTCCCGTGTTTATTCACCATCCAAACATCTCAACCAGTCCCATCTCATCTACGTTTCCATCCATGCCCACTTTTCCATCCTAACGTCCGCTGATCCAAGCCACCATGCCTCATACATCCATCCTCTCATGAATGCGTGCATGCATCCAACATTCCATTCATTCGTCCATCCATTTATCCCTTCAATTTATCTTGTATATTCATCCTCTCATTCAAGCATCCTGTTACTTACCACTTTACTTTTTGGTTTAAATACCATTCATTGCTTTTTAGGAATAGCTCTCATTAATTGTGAGTATTCTTTGAAACTCTTGAAACTCCAAACTATACTGTATTCCTTTCCTTCAGATTGGTCTTGGCATCAAAGTTTACCCTGGAGATAGCTTAAAGGTAACACCTGCATTACACTATTCAAAAAAAGGAAGATTTTTTCCACTCCAGTCTGGTATCCTAAAAATCGTTCATTCTGATTGGCTGTCCGAACTGATGGTATTTTCTGTCTCTGACCCGTATTCCTGTGTCCTGGGATAACGGGATGTAAAGCAACTACAAACATTGCAAAACCAGATAAAACTTAAATGGGGAAAATGCTTTTTTGCATTCCTAAAAACTGTGCCCTGGGCTTTGAAAACGGAGATCGGCCTAACGAAAAAAAAGGCCTCGGTTCATCGAGCACCGTTTTTTACTATTCGGACCTCCTACCTATATCCGTATAGACAAGGACAGAAAGAAAGGAAAGAAAAGAAAATGAATGATAGGAAAGAAAAGGGAAAGAAATGGAATGGGAAAACATGCAGGTTCAAAAAGTTATGAGGATGGTTCTTCAACAAAAATAATTACATTCAGATCAAAAAAAAAAAAACATTCTCGTTTCTTTTAACCCAAAATATATACTGACTTAAAACACCTTTATTGCAAACTCCCCTATGAGAACTAGGCAGTAGAGCCCACAATTCAAGCTATTTTATCACTAGAATTGCCTGCATTGGTAACTTTTTCCTTTTGCTACAGGATTCACCAACTGCTGACGACACAAAGAAGACATTTGCATTGGCCAGCGGACAAAACCTTCCTCTCTACCTCACCCAGGAGGCAGACAAAAGGGCGAGTCGAAGAGTACGAAATGGAGAAGTTACTGGCATCACTGTATCCATTGAGGTAACTAATAGACATAATAAAAGTAACTTATATCTTAAATAAAACATAATTGACATTTCTACTGATAYGGCGGCCGTCTTGTATAATTGAATGCCAAGAGGGCTGAAAAATTATCGAGCAAAGAGTGGCGGCGGAGTTCCTTTTTCGAGTAATTTGAAGTCTTGGTGTCTCACATATTGTTCCAGCTACCAGCAAATAAAATTGCGTTTTAGATGTGCTTCTTGTTGTAAATCGTGAATTTATATAAAAAGACACCCCGACACCTGTGCAGTCTATAAATTGCCCAATATTTGCCTCTTAGAAATCAAGATAGCCGCCATGTCGGTATAAAAGGTCTATTAACCCTGCTACATTTCTGTATTGATGGTTTTCACGTCGGCCATGTTGGAGGTCTTTGACAAAAGATTGATCATTAATCTCTCTTGTTATATCCTCCAACATGGCCACCGTGTCTTTAGTAATTACATCTGTAATTGAGTGATCTGTTTTGACATCTTGATAGGTGGAAGGATATCATGCTATCAAGGACATCCCCGTCAAACAAGCGAGAATCGCTTATTATTCTCTTATTCCCAGACAGGTACGCTCGACTAGAGCAAAATATTCTGTTGTTTTATTGTGAAAGCGCAGACAAATTGCCGGCAACTGTGCAGCAAAAGCCATATAGCATATAACAATGTAGTGCTTTTTAACTGAAAGATTCGATGCTGTTACCTCAAAATGCATCATTAGAGTGGTTTTACGGAAGCCTTGTTTAAGAGCAGAAACAATGCAATGTTTATTGCATGACAAGAGAAGAAAATTATATTGATTTGCCTTACAACATGGCTGCACTCGGTGAAACAACTCTATAGATTTTCACGACAGCCACGGTGTTATAGGTGGGGCAATTAAATATTCTCCTCTGGGAAATTAAATTCCCTACAACGTATTAACTTAGTTTCCGTCAAGCCCTTCAGAATGCAGAATGCCAGTAACGTAAATTGTAAAATGCATGCATAACTATTGAGGGACTAAGCCAATCCAATTTCAGAAATCAGGTCACATGAATGACATGTAAGCCCGATACAAACCTTACAATGAAAATGCTAATTGAATACAACCACTAGTGGATGTATACTGTTCTGATACAGCACTAGTAGTTGTATCTAATTAGCATATAAATTCAAAATGTCCCAGAGGATTTGTGAATTATTCACGGAATTTCATAAGTCGTTTACAGCATTCGAGTCAGTTGTATCGGCCTTTTTTTCATTTCCTTTTTTTCTATCTTAGCTGCTGAGAGGGACAATGTTGTCTATGGTTGTCCAGGTGGAGAGTGGGGAAGGTCAGAAGACTGTTACCGTCAGATCACCTCTGCAGGTCGGTAACACCTTGATATCTCGTTAAATGTTAGCTTTCGATAAGCTTAACTTATGAGACTTTGACAAACATTACGCTATCCTCTCTTCAAACTAGTTTTCCCTGCTTGATCAAATATTTTCAACTAGGCACTCGATAGTTGTTAGGTAAAAATCATATTAACATTTAATAAGTATCGTTCAAAAGCAGATAAAATATTTTAGGAACATTAGATTTATACTTGGTAAGTCGTGCAAGTCTCCTCAAACAAGAACATTAATAAACAGTATACCGTATATCAAACATGTGCTATACTTTTCAAGCCTAGAGATGTAACAGCAAGTGAAGATGGTGGTGGATTACTAAAATGCCATGGCTACAGACCTTAAGAAATGGACTACTTCGACGACGCGGTGGTCATCTTGTCAGGGGCAAAACAAAACATACATGACGCAACATATATAGAGTTGTGTGTGTTTGTCTTTCTTTTTTATGGGTTAAGGCGATCAAGATTCATCTTTTGTTGTATTCTCTCGTGGTGAGCTGTTAATATCAATTGACGTCATTTAATTACTGTAACAAAGCTTTATTTGGTCCCTGGACGCCTCATGATGAATTGCGATCCAAGATGGCCGCCGTATCTTCGAAGTAGTCCATTTGAGCAACAGTGGTTAGCACGCCTGGTCACTCGACTCTTTTCTCGTTTTATTATAGACAAACGTAATTTCAAATTAAATTTATTGATAACAATAAGTATATGTGTATTTTCCCCCAGATATACAACCATTTTCCCATACCTCTTGACCTCTCGTGCAAGAGAGAAACAGAAACCTCTAAAGTTGCCACGATTCCAGCCCAGAGCATGTACAACGTACCTCTGATACTGGCTTACCGAGCTGAACTCCATCTTAAGCCTTCTGGCTTTGGGTAAGGGAAGAAAGATGGATTACCTCATTGATATGTGGAATTTCCGTGATTCTCTTTCTACTGCTCTTTACAGCATTATTTAAGTTATAGTTTTACGCTTTTGTTTAGTATCTCTTATGTTTCTTAGGTAGTGGCTGTTTATTTTTTTAAGTAAAGGGGTCAAGAGTGATGTAGATAAAAATGTGTATTAAATACAGAGCTTACGTGACCAACCCAGAACCGAGCACTAGAAATAAAAAGTGACTCTCGTTCCTTTGTATGCAGAACCTCCTCTCCCTCCCTACTAACTAGGTGGCCATTCCTARTCTTAACCAAACCTGTTACCTTTCTTGTCTCTGATTTCTTCCGGATTCACCTTCGTTTGCTTTGCACTATTTCATATACTTCAGTAAATGTTACATCTTCCTGGTGTCGTACCTGATCCGACATTTTACTTGATCAGCTGCCAAGACAGATACAAATCAAATGCCCCAGATTACTTTTAGTCAATTTTTTCTTATATTCGTGATAATTATTTTCCATTTAGATATAATGAGACAAGTTCTCCTATGGTCTGGACACAACTTAGTACATTGCCAATGGCACGATTTGTTTGTGACTCTAATACGCCAGGAGAAGCTCCTTTCTATATTCAGGTAACGTGACCTTCGTGTCTTGGTATACTCCTCCACTTTATCTGTCTCTACACATTGTCCTTCTTCTTCTTCTCCTCCTCTTTATTAGTATCCCCTTCATTTTTCTGATTCTCTACAGTTCTCCTCTTTCCCACTCGTTTTCTCCCTTTCTCCTACGTTTCCTTTTCCTTTATTCTTTTTCTCCTTGCCCTTCTTGTCCTTTGCCTCGCTCACCCTCTCATTAATTCCTTCCTACTCCTCCTCCTTCTCGCCCTCCTTTTATTTCGTCTCGCATTCTCTTTCACTCTCCTTTTCCCTCCCTCCCTCCTCCTCTATCTTTCTTCTTTCATCGTTTCCTTTTTACCCTACTAAATTGACCTTTATTTTTCTTATCTCAGGTTGTATGCGAGAAAGCACAATTCACAGTAACACAAGGCGCCCAAAGTCAGGCTCCAACATACATCTATCATCTCCATCCAGCAGCGGTACTCCACAACTACCTACCATACAGTATACATTACTCTACAGAGGTAAGGAAATGCTCTCCAATATAATGTTAGGCATGCCGAGTTTGGAGAAAACGTATGGGTAGAGTTGACATTGCAGTTCATTGTGGGACTGTTTAAGGGTACGTATTTCCAAGAGGGACAAGAGGAAGAGCCTCGTAGCAAGCAGTTGTTGTAATGTATTCATAAAAATGTAATGAAACACACCTAATACAATAGAACGACAATAATAGAATACAATAGATTTTCTGAATACATAACATCAACTGAGTGCTATGTAGATTATCCCATTTCCAAGATGGCATCCATTTCTGTACCCTAAAAATATTATAATGCTCACTCGAACCAACTTTTTCTTCGATCTTGGAATGACTAATAGATTCAAAAAAGCAGGTTAACGCTTTTTTTTTTTCTTTTTTTTTTTTTTTTTTTTTTTTTTTTTTTTTTTTTCGTCTTCCTAGGGCATTCCTTTTGTGGGTCTAAAGGGAGGCAACCACTGTTCATTGTATTCCTTGGATCTAACAAAGAACGTCCCTCTACACATCCAGGTAAGAAAGAGCTCCATGTTTACATTGGTTTTAGGCATCGATTGAGCTCAATTTTACCTTATATTTTTCAGATTGATGACTACTTGGGCGAGTCCTGGAAAGGAGAGATCATGATCAAACGTGGCATGAATGAACTGTTTTCCTTCACCTTATCGCCATCTTCATCATCATCATCATCAAAACAACGTCCAGTCGTAAGATAACCATTTTCTTTATTTATGTAATTATTAATTTACTAATTAATTATATATACATCTTAGTTCGTTATTGGGATATTTCCTGTCAAATTAAGTCGATAAAATTAAGAAAGTCCTTGTCCTTTTTTCCACCGATAAAAGTGTTGAATTGGGAAGGACACAGCTTAATTTGGTCCGAAGTCAAAACAGAAAAAAAAAATTGTTAAGGTTTACTAAGCTGTAACTATACGGGCCTGATCAGGCCCATGGAACAAAGCTATCAAAACAGTGTTGATGTTTTCAGAGGAAGCAAAACATTAGAATTAGTATTCGAAAACTAGTAACACAAAAGTAAGGAAAATAATCTTTAGCTCAGATTTTTTCTCTGGGCACTTATATCGTATGATAGCTGAACAATAATATATTTCAGGGGAAAAAATTGTTGTTGACAATGATTGTTTTGTTTTCTACAGGAGCTTGGTGTATTCACTCAAGTTGACGGGGCGTTGAATATAACGATATTCAGTCCATACTGGATGGTTAACAAGACAGGGATGTTCATTGAGTACAAGGTAAGGTAAAGTCGTGTGTAAGGCGTGCAATGTGTGGATATGCGTAAAGATGATGTTGTGTGACAGGGATGTTCATTGAGTACGAGGTAAGGTAAAGTCGTGTGTAAGGCGTGCAATGTGTGGATATGCGTAAAGATGATGTTG